GCATATGTGCAGGTAAAACTAGAAAAAAATATCTAAATAATGTAAAAACTCAGTAGTTGTGAAAGTTAATATCAAGTGGCTGCTTTAACTATGCTGTAACAACTACTTGCAAATTGTCATCACCAATCTTAGGTAGACGAATATATATATATATATGCTTTTAGAGATAGTATTTCTAATATACAAACCTCTTACTAAAGTCGAACGGAATAATGCTATCAAATAAAAATAGTAACAAAGTTGTATGTTGGATACAATGAAAGTCTAAAATGCTTGGGTTAATATCTACATTGAAATTTTTCTCACATTCGCCTGTGATTGATTGGTATACAGTAAGCTAAGTAAGTTTATCGGACGATATTTTTTACTTGGAAACTTGTATTTGTTTCTGAACTATCAACTTGGAATTCCACTTTTCTCGTAACTTCACCAAGACACCTGGGCGTTAGTTAGTCGTCAAGTTTATTGTGCTGTACTTAGTCTACAACTTTCTCATGTTGTCTGCCTGTGTGGAATGCTTCAAGAATCTTTTGGATTGCAACAATTCTAGTCATAACAGTAGCTTAAATCTTTGTCAGCATTTTTCTATACTCAAATGCGAAATCACTAAATTCACTTTTTTAAGCCTATGTTTCTTTCACACAGAACTTTACTCATCCGAAACCATTTAGTTTTGAAGATCGTGAATTATCTTTGATAAAACGCAGAAACGAACGTATGGTCCAAGCAGAGTTAAACGCGAAGCTGCTTGCAAATTCATTCAAAGCTCAACCTATGAGGGTTGGATCACCTGATCGTCTACCTCCACGTGTTGTTCATTCTCCAGTTCATCCAATCTCATTCCACTCATTCACTGAAGAAAGAATAGCACTTCACAGAAGCAAAAGAGAGGTTGGTTTAGATTTACAATCCTCATTATACATGAACGAATACCACTCTTCATTTTTTCATTCTAAGCCGTAAGCTTTCGGTATTGTGTTATTCAATCAAATTATCCAATGAAAAGTTTCTAAGTGAACACATTTACATTCTACTATAATAGGACGACCAGTCCTTATTACTCGAAACGTTGAATAGGAGTACATATTCTAGATCCCCGGTGCCCTTAAATGCCTTGGTACGGCCGAGAGTCCGCTCTCCCTCTCGAAATGCTCTCACATGGCCACGGGTATATAGCCTCTGCCAGGGAAGTCCTACTCATTGCCTTCTCGTGGCGAGAGTGTTGTTGACGAAACTGAGAGGACGAAAAGCGAATATCCGGCGCTTTAATCAGGTTGGTGGACACAGAGTGTCCATCTAGGGGAGTTGGAAAACCCTGATTCCTAACCATTGGTGCACATGGGCTTCAGTATCCTAAAGGAACGAATGGCGTATGAACCTATTGTTGGTCGCCGGCTACTATGGGACTGCATCTCCTTACGATGCTCCACTGCTTTGTGGATGAGACCTTTATGTCGAAGGCTCCATGTGTGGCCCCCTAAGAAAACCACTTGCTTCGGTCTGGGCATTTGGGCAGTATCACAGCCCTCACACATATCAAATGAGATTTGTGTGGCACATATGTATTTGGTGCCTCCTTGTATCAATATCTATGTATTAAAATAAATAAGATCCCCGGTGATTTACACTTAATTCCTTATTGGTATGAATTCCGAGAATTAATCGGCGTTTACCTGTAACATACTTTCTTACAAAACATACATGGTCACAGATATCCGATAAGGAGCAATAGTAGAAAATACAAGAAACTTTCGGATTTAGTTACGTTCACTTGATGTGTAATAGGAATTGAAGAGGAAGGTTGATTATGAATACAATGGTCTCGGGTGCTGTTAGAGGTATGAGGGCGGTTATCACTTCCCGGTTGCCCACACCGTGGAAGGGTTCTTCTGGAGGTACATGAAAAGGAAATTGGATTAGAGGTGGTCTCAGCGACCTGAGAGCGTGACCGCAGTGCCCAAGGGACAACTGCTTGAGGCCGGTCGCGCACGGCCTTTTCGTGGAAGGTTTTTGACATGTTAGCTCCGTTCTTCAAAGGGCCTTACCGCCGGAGACGGAAATCCGTGAGGTAAGGTGAGGTGTGCAGTTTTAGGGTCGACCTTTTCTAACCCCACCCCTCCTTGTGGGAAGGCAGCATTGCTGTCATGCTGGTTGTCTGAAGGAAACACCTTACTGCTGTCACACCTCTGTACAGTCAGCAGTACGACTTCGCCTTCGGAACTTAGGTTTGTTGCTTTTAGTCTTACCGCTCTTCAACCGACCTGTCTGACATGGTAGGACCTTGAGGAACGGTTGTTCCAGCCAGTATAGCTCGTTTGCTTCATCACGATAGGCAAGCCCAACCACCACGTCAAGGTAGCAACAACTTTACAGACTAATAAAAGAAACTGGAATTAATAAGTCAAGTGTAAGTGAGATTATATCGGAAAAAGACGATACTCTCATCTATTCCCAGTCCAGACGTTTAGAACGATAGGCGGAACACTTTAGGGAACAGTTCAGCTGGCCTTCAGCTACTCTACAACTACCCTCCATTCCCAGACAGCGTGAATGGAACATTGAAGTAGGTCCCCCAACTCTTGCTGAAGTTCAAAAGGCTATAGATAATCTGAAACGAGGAAAGGCAGCTGGTCCAGATGGACTGGTTCCAGAAGTCTTTAAAGATGGTGGTCCAATTTTAGCGATTAGGTTGACTAATATTTTAGCTAAGATCTGGGAGTTAGACGTTATTCCATCTGACTGGTCGCAATCACTTATCGTCCCAATATATAAGGGAGGGTCAAAATCATCCTGTGACAACCACAGAGGGATTAGTTTAACTAATATAATATCTAAAATACTAGCCTCGATAATTATCAGACGCCTAACTAAGACTCGTGAACTGCAAACACGAGAAAACCAAGCTGGCTTCAGACCTGGTCGTGGCTGCATCGACCACATATCCACCATTCGTCAGGTTCTAGAACACAGGCATACTTATCGGCGTCCGACGATGGTGGTCTTTCTTGACTGAAAAGCAGCATTTGACTCGGTAGACCGCGAGGTTCTGTGGCAGTGTCTGTCATTGAAAGGCGTACCTCAGAAGTACATAAACCTTGTGAAGGCTCTTTACTCGAACACTACTAGTCGAGTGAGAGCTTATGGCGAACTGTCATCTAGTTTTGCAACCTCAAGTGGTGTCCGTCAAGGCTGTCCACTTTTCCATTTTTGTTTAACTTCATCATAGACCTACTGATGGAAATAACTTTCTCGTCGACTGAGTTCTCGGGTATTGATCTCCTACCAGGAGGTCCACTTATCGACTTAGAATACGCAGATGACATAGTCCTGTTTGGTGAAGACGCTGATAAAATGCGGAGTCTTTTGGTAGCACTAAGCAACAATGCCAGAATGTTTGGAATGCGCTTCTCTCCCTCTAAATGCAAGTTGTTGCTTCAGGACTGGCCTGCGTCAACACCTGAAGTAAGGATAGGGAGTGAAGTAGTCGAACGCGTTGACAGCTTCACTTATCTTAGAAGTCTGATCAGCCCTAATGGATTGGTATCGGACGAAATCTCAGCACGGATTCGAAAATCTCGTTGGGCTTTTGCCAACTTACGTCACCTTTGGCAAAGGCGAGATATCCGTCTATCTATAAAAGGACGAGTATACTGCGCGGCAGTTCGTTCTGTTTTAATTTACGGCAGCGAAACATGGCCTTTAAGAGTAGAAGACACTCGTAAGCTACTAGTATTTGACCATAGATGCCTTAGAAATATTGCTGGCGTCTGCTGGGATAATCGGGTAAGTAATAGTGAGATTAGACGAAGGGTATTGGGGAATGATGGTAAATCAGTTGATGAGGTTGTGAATCTTCATCGACTGAGATGGTTGGACCATGTGTTACGTATGCCTGAACACCGATTACCACGACGTGCAATGCTAACTGGTGTTGGGGATGGTTGGAAGAAGGTTAGGGGCGGCCAAACCAAAACGTGGCATCAGTGCTTGAAGTCACTAACTTCTAGTCTGAGCTATTTTGGTAGATGCAGACTACTTGGTTGGGGTCCGCGTGACTATCGTAACCAATGGTTGGAGACTCTTGGTGACATGGCTCAGAATCGATCACAATGGCGTCGGTGTATACACTCGCTGTCTTCCCTTAAACTAAGAGATTAAAAGCGCTTCATATCTTTCTACTAACCAACTCTTTTTTCTTGTACTATATCTCTATATGCAATCTTTCTCTTATATATTATCACCTTTTACCTAACCACTGTTATGAATCCGGTGTTCATCTTGTTGTGCTGATGCGGTATGGCAACCTGGACCGATGCACATATGTGCCTGGTCCTACGTTGTAGCTGACTGACTTGATGTGTAAAGGCCTTTCTGTATTCATGTTTCTGTAACGAGCTTTTTTCGAAGACCAGTTGGTATCGTATCGCTAACTACCGTCCACTCTAGAGACCGAGGAGTTCGAACCATGCAGTGTTGCAGTTTTTGCTTTCCAGTTTTCATATTTATAAAAAGAAAGAAGGTATCTTTTATGTGTAAATGAGCTAACCTTCATTTATCGTTGAAATTTGACATCACACAGTTTTCTTTATATTGTCTTTTTTCACTATCTTAGACTAGTACATCCAGTGAGGAGTCCATAATTACAAAAGCAAGAACCAAACCTCCATCAGTCATTTACCAAACACCGTTTATTCCGACTTTTCCTGAGCGTTCTCCAATAGTTGCTGTCTCCCCTAAACTAGCCACCGTGGAGCGCGCTATGTCAAGGTCGAAATATGACGATGAAGCCAAGAAGAGAAGAGATATTCTTCAGCAACAATTGGAACTCATTAGACTTAAGAGGATGGAGGACGAGGCCAATGAAGTACGACAGATTCGCAAAGAATCTGTACACAAACCGGAACCGATAAGGCGATATAAAACGATCAAATCTCCCACGCGTAAACCCCCAACGGTACCCAAATCCCCGATGCTATCAACTTTACGAAATAGACAACAATGATATTTGATTGACTCCTTGTATTTATTGTACAGAAACCATTCTCATTTACTCAAATATGATGTACATAACAGAAATTCAAATTTTTAAATGTATTAACCATTGCTTTGAAATAGGTCTTGATTGTGGTACTCAGAAGTATTTGTTCATGGCTATTTGCACAGTGCAACCAGTGTTTCAAAAACGTTCCCCTGATGTTCTTTTAGATATCGTTCTGCCATCAATTTGCTGATTTCGAGTTCTTGACACTGTAAACGAAAAAACAAGATCTAACGTGCAATCGAAATACACAGAATTACATCTTAAAAGGAGTTGCCAGTCAAAGCAAGCCATTCTCAAGCAATATTTTGCTGTATTTATACATTTACTCCGAGGGGCATAAAAATCTATTTCATGGGAACCTACTGTTTAGTTATTGCTACGACATTAGAAGTATCCCTATTAGGACGTATCAGTTTCATTTCACGAAACAATCGCTTAGACTAAGGTGAGTCGCTGCATCTTGCAAAACACAACGATAATAAACAAGGATGTAAGGGAACAGTAAACGTAGGTGGTAAAGTGCATCTTTGTGGTCCACCTTAGGCCTCATCCCTCGAGACCATCAGTTATTGGTTTCTGGACTAAAGACCAATTGAGAAACCCACCAATTACTTGCTGCAAATGTCAGACAGACAATCATTAGCTTCGCTGGTTAGTATCAACTTTCTCGCTGACCAACATTAGTTTATGTACATATTAGTCTGGAAGACAACACACTTGTTACGCTCTAGATAACGATGCGGAGATGACAGCAACTAACTGAAACCTATGTTAAAACAACTACAGTCGTGTCAAAGAGCAATCTATATTGGACGTATATAACGAGAGTCTGTAAGTTGCATACAGCAGTTCGGGTGAATCCAGTGTGTTGCGTGTTTAGTTCAATCAGGAAAGTGGTGAAGATAAACGAAAATTCAATTAGTCAGGAGACAGCATCGCTGTACATATTTATATCTGTAGGGCAATAAGGGAATAAAACGGAACGAAATTGGTCAGGATAACGGAGGATTCGCTCACTAGCGTAATGGCAAACACTGCGACCTGCAGCTTTTCCTGGGTTAGTACTACAATATTTACAGTCATTGAGTAGCTCCGGCCGATATTCTGTGACACTCGTTTGCTTAGCCTTAACCTATCAAACTCGATCCACATTAGCTTGTGAAGTGTTTGCTCTTTTCTTGTTATCATAATACCAGTTGACCATATATGACTTCCCTAACCATAGATAATCACAATTCTGATACATAAGTTTGTAGAATTAGAACTCATAAGCTTAGGTTTTGATTCAATATTGGACTAACCTTGGATGCAGATAAGCAAGTAACACCCTATGCAGGATGCGTATTTAAGCTTAGGAGCAAAATATTTAAATAAATCAACATTTTGACAGCGTGGCTGGACACAATTTACGGCCACTCCTACAGGAAAATGTCTGACTTAAAGATCACTGATTATAAGTTTCTCGACAAACCGCATGTGTATTAAAGGATGAAGATATACTTCCGTGTGGGTTAGGTTGAGTATTATTCATTAGTACTTTGAGCAGGCCTCACATCTATACACTATTTTGTTGCATTGTAAAATAAAAGTAGTTAGTAAGTATATACTTGCATCCATGCTCCTCCGTTCGTCGAGAATTTTAGTGCAATGCATTAGATTTGCACCTGTACATAAAAAACACACTCAGAACTGGTAGTTTCAGTGTATGCTTTGATTGACATGTACTTTTGATACAGTCAACGGTAGCCACGTAATATGGAAAAAGTAGGGTGAAATGTAAATAATCGTGATATGAGTATGTGCATAGTCTCCCGATTTTAGGGTTTTTGTGCAATTTTACCAAAAAATTTTTATTTCGGCTTTTACAAAACACAAAAATCTCCCCCAAAATAAGGATTGTGTGGTATGATTATTACCGTCCTGATCTAGCTAAAAAAAAATCGAACTTGCCTTGAGTTAGTATTCTTGAAAATAGTAAAGATTACCGGTGATATGTTAACTTTCTAAAAGTGTGCTAAATTTAATTTTCGACATTGAAAACATCAGTCAAAAACTACTACGAATTCTGCAGTAAACATTTAGAAATAAGACATAAATAAAGTGCAGATACGTAGAAGTACATACGACCTACAATGAGTGACACGTCTTCATTTTTGACTTTAATCTTTAACATTTGTTTTTGTTTCTGAGCTTTGTCAGCGGCAACAGCATCACCAGCTGTATCTGACACGGCTTTGACTGCATCTAGGCCAACACTAAGCTCCTTCTCTTCAAAGTAATCAGTAACACGTTCTAGATCTGCTGCACCACGCTCATCGTGTGTTGTAGGTTTCTTAGGTTTTTCATTGTCATCCTGATCCTCCGTCATGAGTAACTTCTTAGTAGTTGACCTACAAAAGTCAGTGAGGAACACAACCTCAAGGTTGTTCAGTGGGAAGTCAAAACAAATGTGTTCAATAGTTTGTACCAAATAGCGATACCCTTCACCTGAATGAATTCTATGCCAAGAGCTAAGAGTCATTAATTCCTTTAGATAGTGGCATGGTCCAAAAGGTTGTAGATGGAATATAAGAGGCTTTCCCATAACAAGCTTCCGTGTCTTGCAGCATTGGATCACCGTTGGATTTGTAACTGCCCTGAGTTCCAGGCAATATATCAGGTTCCATCTTGAAGAAATCATGGGAATTCATCAAAACCATTGGGTGACTTTCAAAGGATGACCATACGTAAGGGGCAGGAAGTGTGCCGACAGTCCAATTAACTGTGTTGTGCTTATAATTTTCCGGCTGTTTCTCTATCGTCTGGGTTGAAGCTGGATTGAAGAAGGTGTTCTGTAAGGTTCTAAAGGGCGTTTCTGATTCCTTAAGTCACTAAATGATCGACCCTTATTCATTTATATTCTTAAAAATATCCATTGATATAAACTAGTTCCAGAACTCTTCATTGAGTGAGCTTGAAAGTACGCTTATTAATTTTGGGTGAAGAGAGGAACACTTTATTTGGACACTGTAAACGAGGCCGAATGGAACTAAAGATGTCACAGGTACTCGGAGTTTGACAACACATTTACACGTAACACCTTTATGACCGGGTGTGCCAATCTAATCAGAGGTCAGCAATGAAGAAGTTAGAGGATATATTTGAAAGGTTACCGATATATCGGTGAGCATTTAATCTAAATTGGTTAGCAGTTGAAAGGGATGCGTAGCACGTCATATCCAACTGTGATCTGATGCGGATGGATGACCGAGAGCCTTCAGCTAGATGTGTTGATTAAGGCTAATGTGATGAGCATCAAATGTCAAAGAACTGATGATTTCCGGGACTTATATACTGCTACAAAACTATTAAAAACTCAGTGGAAGGTCATGCTGGCACTCTTTGTCGCAAATGCACTCAAAATTTGTCGGTGCAACGCTGAGTTGAAAAGTAATCTGTCTCAGTTAGCATAGGATTTCGAGCCACGCGGATATTTAGATGTCTTTCGACTGATGGTGATTTTAAGAGGGCATTGTCTTGGTTGTGTGCATCGCATGAGCTATGTCTCAGATGGACTACTTTTCACCTTGAAAAGTTGATAATTGATCCGCTGTTAATCATCCAAATTCGAAGTAAAGTTAAGTTCTTCTAGATGCTAGCTTATCATTCTAGACCCAAACTTTAATTCAGTATGAAAACCATCTTAAGAAATTGGGATCGTCGACATAGTCTTCGACTTTTAGAGTAAACAGAGCATCTACCGTCAAATATGTTGGCTAAATATTCGTGTCTCCCACTTCATATTTTTAATGGCTGGAATACGGGAGCAAAAAACATCTACTTAGTTGATATCTGCAAACATTCACGTGATCAGGCGTATCTCTCTTTAGTAAAGGTTTTATTGGAACTTGGAAGGAATATACACGGACAACTTAAATCTTGAACCGTGATATAACTGCAACACTGAAATGAGATGGTTTGTCTGGTCGGAACATTCTTAGGCATGTTCTGTTGACGTGGAGTTCTACTATAATGTCTGCACCTCTCATCTTTGCTTTAAGATGGAAACTGTTAAGCAAGGTCGAAACTTGCAAACAGGACATACGGTTGTAAAACTGTTGCACAAGAGATAACACTGAATAGGTCTCTGAATAAAATCATTTACTCAGACCAATATACCGAAGTAACAATTAGAGATACTGATGTTACTTGCGGGATATCTATCATGTGCATTGTTCATACGGTATTACTGTAGCTAGAAATAGAACAAAGGTAAAACATTGAGTCACGAAAATTAACTGATAGAACTAGTAGAGTGCTCATACCACAAATCGTTCAAACACAATAAAAGTTTCAACAATAATGGGTTACGGAGAAGCCTGACTAAGAGTAGGACGACAAACAATCACAGAGGTATTTGGCAGAATAAGAAATTTTTTGATGACGATATTGCATATAAATAGGACGGTCCACCTCAGCTTGTATCTTGGAAACGTTGATCAATTATTTGGAACCATTAGACATACCAACATAATTGACTAAACTTAAAATTTGTCGTAAAATCTCTCATTCCTATCCATTATTTTTAAGCTTGTGAGGAACCTTTATGAAATAAATTGTAACTACTTTTGTACATCAATTACTTCAACTTGTTCACCTTGAGAAGTATCTAAGCCTGCAGACATGTAAATTTGAAAAATGTATTCGAAGCAGTTTGCTTCTGACCTAAACTTTGTGAGCATTTAGTGGCTAGTCACTTTAAACCAGTGCGCACTGGTTCGTGTTGGGTTTCTGGATCAAAGTATTTGATGTTTCCGTTTATAACGATCGCAATTGGAGGGTGATAATCAACTCGATTCAGTGAGTAAAAACTGCTTCTTGTACTCGGATAGAACTAAAACTCGCTCATGGTTTACTTAGAAATCTATATGAAAGAGTCAGTTCATAAAGTTTGTTTAAAATGGATATGATAAAATGCTTCAGATTGTTCATCTGGGACTTCTAAATTTTTGTAGTTTTAGGTGGAATTTCGTTGTTCCTTAGCTGATATATCCTCACGTGAATGCCGTGTAGTCAATGACTTCGATCCTTTCCCTCCTTGACATGGTATCCAGGCCTTTTCTGCTTATTAGGTATGGTTGTATTTAATGGAGCAATTGAAAGTACGAATAGTTATTTTGCCGCCCTCAATGATATCCTCACTGTCAAACGACCGATCTTCGAAGGTAGAAGTACATTTCTTTTTAGTCTTGATGTTCAGCACACGCCTACAATGTTTACAGAATTAAGAATGTTAGTGCTACTGCGATAAGAGCGGTTGCATCACGCAAACGGAGAAAGGCAACTGGTACACAGCACATCATTAATTAGCCGTTAACACAGGTAGGAGATATACCACAGAAAAATCTGATATTCGAAGTAGAATAAGACAAAGTGAATTGTTGTAGCTCTAAATATATGGTAACGAAAGCATGATCCCCAGGAATACAGAGATTTCGTGGGCTTAAAGCGATGGCAGAGGTCGGACGGAAGACTTAATTTTGAAAAACGCATCTGTGGTTATTGTTTCTAAAAGAATTTTAGCATATGAGCAAAAGTTCGGTGATCTTGTGATCTATAGCAGGTCACATGCGATTGAGTTTGTTCATTTATAATTTAGTTGAACCCTTGTGTTAACTTATTTAACGGACATAGTTACCCGTACAATAACAACTTACCTATATCATTGTATCCTTCTTATTGTTTCGCTTATATGAATATGTATGCTTGAGCATTCTTTACTGCCTGCTCATATATTCACTATGCCAGCTTTAGTATTAGTCTCTTAATTGATTCGATGATTCATTCATTTTACTATGCATATATATGTACATTTTAATCATGTTCATTGACTCGCTGACTTACTCATTCGACTCGCACGTTCACTCGCTTGCCTGCTTGCTTTTCGGCACTACTATGTAATGCTTGCTTAGTATATCTGTAAATTCGGATATCTGTGTGTGGTCCCATAATAAACGTAATCAGCACTTCGTATTCGCCTTTTGATTAATACACCGTTTGGGTATTATCTAGTGACAGTTATTAGGACTAACTATATACGAAGTTTAAGGATTGTATTGAATATCGACCACCACATATAACCCTAGCGATTTCATAGTTATTTCACTAACTTTATATGCTCCTTTGAGAGAATACACAGATAATTAACAGTGTAATCAGTGGTTTAATTGTTGAAATTAAGAAATTGTTGTTTAATTAAAGTGATTGGTCAGCAAGACTCACACAATAGTAGACTCTATCAGCAAAATTAGATGAGCAAAGGACGAAGTGTTCGAATAATTCAGAAGGGATATGATTTTCATCCTCGTAAATAATATAATTCAGTTGGGTAAAACACTTCAAAGAACTCTTGAATCGACCAGCCTCACTAAACCCACCCAATATCGAAGCAGCACCATAAAATCCCCGGAAGCCAAATATCAGAAGGCAATTAATGGACCAAATCGAGATATATTCGCTGGCGATCTCGTGGTATCGAAAGGATACCGAGATCGTGCCAGGATACAGGCTTGGTTACAGAACGGAACCGAATTCGCGCGAAGTCGCAATCAAAGTGTAAGAATAATGGATGTTTTTAGCACAGTTAAACAAAAGCACATTAAAACAGTCACTGGTACAATTGGTTATGATAATAATAGTTTTCAATTAACCAATCGTGTTCTCGTGATAAAAGTGAGTCACTACAAGCTGATCCCCTAATTATAATGCAGATTACAACATTTGTCTCATAATTACACGATTTACTATATATATATATATATATATATATATATATATATATATATATATATATATATATATATATATATATGACTTGCACAGTCTATTCATATATATCCTCAAGTAATGTTGTACCACTCATTTGACTACTAACGCGTAAAATAAGTAGTTACATCTTAGAACATATATCTACATGAGAGTTGGGCTTGAAAAGCCATAAATTGAGTAAACACCAAATACTGATAAAGCCTTCTTAGGACTAACCTTTAGATACAACATACTGACATGATAATACTGACTACTAAGTCAATCATAATATTATCTGTCTTAAGGCTCCCAATCGAAATAACGTATAGAATTTCCACTTTTATCCTTCAACTAAAATAAATATTTTCGCAATGTTTGTATTTTTATTAATTTATTTACTACTTCAATAATATAGTAGGGTAGGTAGTTTTCCTTTTTTTCTTGAATTATACACTCAGTATTTTTTATTTATTAAAATTAATACTGTTTTGAAAGCATAAAAGTAACGCTTAGATTGCAGAGAAAGTTACGTTGTAGGAAGAAATTATCAAATAAGTTAGCAAAGTAAGGTAGTCATTTGATGTTTGCCTTTAATTCTATAAATTTTGTTCTGTTTTTAAAGGATTTCCTTTTAATATTTTGTTTAATTAAGTAAAATTCAACAGATAACTATT